GCGCAGTTTTTTAAGCTCAGATGGCGGGAGATTCTCTGTAAGTTTAATATTTCAAATTAACTGTGCCGAATTAAGAGTCAAATTCATACCTGAGTCGATTTCTTCAATGGTTTCTTCCGATTTAAGTGGTTTGTCGTATAAGCGAATGTACACCTTTAAAATATTAAATGTATAATTAAGACTCATTAGTTGTTTTTTACGTTACCTCTATGGCACATTTCGCCGCCTTATAGTAGAAAGGATGGCGACGTAGCACATCTTCCAGTCGCAATAGTCCGATATATGCGCGCAAAGTCATTTTGCGCATGCAGTACGTATGGAAGTCGAACTGATCTTCAATAATCTCGGAAAAGTGGCGATCTACTTCGTGGCACTTTTTCAACGCTTCACCCCAGCGACCCATACGCTGATAAGCCAGTGCACATTCCGTTTGGAACCACATACATTGCATCTCATTTAGATTCTCCATGGCAGTTACACCCTCACGTGTGAATTTCGAACAAATTTCTTCAGCCTCCTTTACCAAATTGGCACGTAACATGTACTTTGCGCATTTTGAGTTAATGTAGCTGTAAAAAGTTATTAAAAATAGATGTTAAAACGTACAAATTTTGAATTGATCCTTCACTTACCGATCCGCAGTATCCATACTTTGCGCTTCATCCATCCACATATAGGCTTCGATTGGGTCTCCAGCATGCTTGTATATTCGACCCTTGGTCATAAAGAGCTCAATAAGCGTAGGTGTATGATCGATGGCAGCGTTAACGTATTCCAGAGCATGATCCGTATCGCGTTTATAGTCATAGTGTTGCGCCAAAAATAATGCAGTCCAAACTAGAGCGGACGCTGGCTCTATTGGGAGGTTAGCATCGGCGTCTTCCCTTGAAAAATGTCCTGAACGAGACAAGTTTTCATAATATTGTAGCGCCAGCTCCTCAATAATTGCTGCCTTTTCAGGCACGCGGTGCAATACGCGCACATTTACAAATAATGGCGGTACCCCTTTACGCAATCCACGACGTAAATATGAATCCAGTGCAGAACGAAATGCATCGCCGCTTGCGACATCCAATGGCAAACGTTTTGGACACATAGCTCGCGGGTAAATTTCCTCAAATCGTTTGAAAGCAATGAGTTTATCTGTCGGGTCAGCAAATTCCCGAGCAGCAAAATATTGCGAGTAGTATAGTGTATTCTCCGGATTACGACGGATAAGCTCTTCAAAGATCGGCACAGCCAATTCAGGTTGGCCGAGTTTAATATGCAAGTCACCAATTGACTCTTGTACGGCCAGCTTATCAACAATTTGACTGTCGTACTGTCGCAGATGATCTAGTGCACGCTGAAGGTTGCCCGCTTCCACAAGAATTTGGTTTTGGTAGAGCAGTAGTTCTGAATGTCGATAATCGTGCGTTTCCTGTTGGTAAAATTAACGGCAAAGGAAATTAATATATGACATTTAAATACAACAGTTTAATGTACTCACTATAGATGCCTGCGATTGACTAAAGGTTTCCAAAATGCTATTGGCCATTTCAAGATCACCGATTAAATGATAACTCATAGCAAAACCAATCCAGCTGGCATGTTGCGAGGGTCTTAAAGTAAATAAATGGTGGCGAGTTTCCTTATAGCCTTCGAGATCGCGCATTTGTATCTGCAGCAACGACAAATCCTTGAGGATTTGAAGATTATCCTTTTCCCACTTCAATGCATTACGATAGCATTTAATCGCCTCATCGTACTTCTTATCACTGCGCTGCAATAAACCATAAACATGCCAGCAGACGTGAGAACGTAAATCCCTACGCAGTCCCAAACGCACATATTTGTACGCCTCTTCTCGGCGCCCGAGACCATTGAGTGTTAGGCCTTTCATCGCCAAAGTCTCTCCATGCTCTGCATACTTAGGGTTGGACAGAATCTGCTTAGCTAATTTCAGCCCGTTTTTGTACTGCTTCATTTCGTAGCATTTCTATAGTTTGTATATAAAAGTTGAATATTAAAATTATGCAACCTTTTCTGCGTTTTTACTTAATATTAATATGAAAACAGATCTTATTTTTCAATGCTAAAAGAAAATTTCAGCCACAAATGTTTTGAGGTTATGTGCAATGGATATTTTACTTCGAAGAATTATGAATTTAAATTATACATATGTACATATAACATTAATACTAATTTTCAAAATATTCCTAGTTAATACATTTTAATTTATAACAGGCAGGTGTTACAAAAATTGCTAACTCCACATCTCATGTAAGATGACTCGTATAATCAATCCGTGACATTGAACCCGGTGGATGTTCCGCAGTGGCCAGTTTTTATTTGCAAGATTATTATATTAATTTAAGATTATTAGACTGGGGCGATGTGTAATAACTAAAACCAAATATTCCACATAGTAATATGCACCTACCAACAGCTTCCTGAAGAGCGCACTCTCCTTGGGCGGCAGTGGATCGCTGGATGGCATCTTGCACACGCGGCTCTACTACAAATGCACAAGCTCTACAGTTTTTGCACTAACTACTTTAATGTAAATGGAATATACCAATCCTTGAATGCAAATTTTCGAAGCGAACGTTGAAAATTTTCACAAATGTTCCGTGGAAGCTTGGCCACGAGCAAAATTGAGATGTCGATCCGTGCTCGACAGAGAAGAAGAAGAAGACAAACAGAGCAGCGACAAACACACGCAACCACACACAAACCACCAACTCGCAATGAAAACTTAAATGTCAATTCGTCCAAATGTCAAATAGAACTTTTGTTGCCAGACATTTTTAAAAAATTCGAAAGATAATAAACAGGTTAATTTGGTAGTATTTGGTTACTTTGAACAGGAACATACCCTCATGATAATTGTCATGAAAATTATAGCTCAGTTATGCATACTTTGCACTGCACTGCATAGACTGTCATGTTTACGTTGACATCAAAAACTGACAGACTTCTACATATCGTCGTTTAAAGTACAAAACCGTTTGCGTTGTATGTGATAAAATCGCCTCATTCGCAGCGAAATTTTCACCGAGTGAGGACGAAAGAGAGAAAAATGAAAAAACCAATTTTTTTTAAATTATGAACCGGAAAAATACTGAAATTCTTTGCTTGAACGAGTCATGTTTGCACGGATAGCATTCGCAAGTGAGATCAAGTTATTTTTTTTTTTTTTTTGTAATTTAAAGTTACTTCCTAATTCTTTATAAGAAGAATTAATTGGCCAGCAAAAAAGCTTAAAACGCCATCTCCAATTTTAAATTAAATTATAAAATTATAAATCAATTTCAATATCCTTTAAAAAATTAGTGATAGATTTATATGCTTTGCCATTTCATTTTGATGAAATTCAATTAATGATGAAGTATTTTTGAGTATTGGGTATTTATCACGTGAATTGTTATATTTGTTACATTTGAAAATTATATGATCAGTATTTTCAATTGTATTGTCAAAAAGCTGCAACTAATTTTAAAGTCGACTTTATTTTGACTATGACTACGGATTCATTTTTGATAATGTCTCCTTGCAGAAAGTGTGATTTGTTAGAATTCTATTAATTTGTTTAACTTCTATTGGTGTCATTTTATTTGAATTTTTATGAAACCATGGTTTATTCTGAATGTTTGGAAATATTTCTCCATAAGATTTTCCTTTAGTTATAATATTATTAGAATAAAATTCTTGCCACTCTTCATTTATTTTACTTTTAATTTCTATTATAGCATCTTTAATAGACCATAAAGTTTGAATTCTTTGACCATTCTGTAAAGCAGTGGAAGCTGCTTTATCCACTTTTTCATTTAATTCAATACCACTATGGGCTGAGATATGATGTAATTCTAAAATTTCAATTGATGAATTATTAAGATCCGTTATCATTTTTTGTTTTGCTATATAATTATTACAGTTCGCATTTGAAAGAGTCATTAGACTACTTAAACTGTCTGTAAGAATGGCAATTTTTTTAAATTGATTAATTATTGAAAAATCAATAGCTTTATAAATCGCTAATAGTTCAGCTGACATTGAAGACATTTTTTTGTCACAGAAAAAGGATTTTTCAGTTGAAGATTTCTCGTGTAAAAAAGCAAAATGGGTTTGGTTATTTTTAATAGAACCATCTGTATATATTATTTCAAAATTTTGTTGTTCAAGATTTTTGAGTTTTTCAATATATAATTTAGATCAAGTAATTTTGACTGAGCATTTTTTCAACAGCATACTTTTTCATTTGTAAATTGTCGCCTAAATATAAAGTTCGAGCCAAAGCGAATTTATACAAGGTGGTGTTGATGGCGAATTTAGATTTTCGCTGCGGTATTTCCTAATGTCAAAATAATGTGTTTTTTGTAAACAAGACGAATTCATATTACTACAAATACATCATTTTGGCATTAAAAAGTACCGCGACGAAAATCTAAATTCGCCATCAACACCAACTTGGTTCGAGCTTTACAGGCTAAATTTGGATTTTCCATCGGAAGAATTCTGCGAAATGATAAATTACCTGTCAAGCAACAAAACTGAGTGTTGAAAGGATAGGGAGCTCGCAAACCAATCGGTATGCGAGAAAAGTACGATTAGTACTTTTTGCGGTCTACACGTGCCGGATCTCGCATACGTCGTTATGTAAGCGAAACTTTCCAGCACGTGAAGACGGCCGGTAACCTTTTTCCACTGAAGTGTAACATCAGCACAAATCCAACAGAACTAATTGAAGTTTCCAATCAGCTGTTGAGACTAGGGATGCCAGCTTCGCTGCGCCTAGTTCCCCTATTCTCGATAAAATTCTCCCATAATAAATTTTGCTACCTATTTAAGGCACTTCATACTCATTTATTTAAAAAAAAAAAACAATAAATATCATTAATTGTGATATAACGGTATGTTTCAAACCCGAGATACAAAATGAGGGATTGTTATCACAATTTGTAATTTGTAAATACAATTTTATCCTCAATAGGAATGTTCTAATCAATATTGAATACCCCATATTTGAAGTCATTTCCCCGATAGGCTGGCATCACTGGTTCAGACCCTTCGCCAGCTCAGGACAAAATGAATCAATTAACTGGAAGGCTTGGCAATTTTTTGTGCCAAAGTGTGCAATTTGCAGGGTGTAGGGTAAGTAAAATGAAAATAATATTATTCATACATTAACACATCCCAAAATAGCTGCAACAGGTGCGTACAAAATATGCCGATTGGCGAATGATTCGCGATGTCAAGCGACGTAAATGTGTTGCGGAACACGCAAAGGAGCGATTACGTGTAAATGCGTTACGAAAGAACGATATTTTACCAGCGGAGTTACGAGAGGTTGCTGATGCTGAAATAGCCGCTTTCCCGAGGGACTCGTGTTTGGTGAGGGTGCGCGAGCGTTGTGCGCTTACGTCACGCTCTCGAGGTATTGTACACCGGTACAGGCTAAGTCGTATTGTCTGGCGAAGTTTGGCTGATTATAATAAGTTATCGGGCGTTCAGCGTGCAATGTGGTAAAACTCATGCATGACTAGATTTAATAAATCTAAAATAAATTACATTAGTTACAATTAAATTACTCTAAAATCGGAAGTTCGGATTGCAATTCCAGCAAACTTATGCTGTTGTATGCCATGGCAGCAGTACGTTTATAGCTATCTTTGCATATTTCTGGGTACTTATCCGCCAGCTGAGCAATGGTTCCTAAGAAAATACGAAAACTGTAGCTTTAAATAACGTAATTTATAATCATGTTACCTTTAATGGCCTTTCGCAAACGGACTTCTGGACCCTCATAATGTAGAAACATCATGTCTAAAGCCTTTTTAATGAATGTTTCCCAAATTTCATGTTCATAATCACCGTCTTCACCTTTTGCTTTTGCGAATTTTGGGCTTAACTTGGGAATCACCATAGCAGCCAATTCACGTATGCCGGCCGATGGATCATCTAGGCGTTGTAAAGTAGCTAAAATTGAGTCACATTTGTGTTATTTTTAATTGCCATAACAACTATAAAAAACTTACCGTAGGCTATGGGTTTTAACTGATCTACGGCGACGTCTCCGAAATTGAATAGACACTTAACTGAATAATGACGTGTTGCGACTGCGCGATCTTCGAGTAAACTTGGCAGATACCTACCAACGATTTCTGGCAACACATAACGGGCTTCTTCGGTGGCACCTTGTGACATCGAACATAATGTAGCCATAGCCAGTGAACGCATGGACTCGGCATTTGCACCCGCACGCCATTCCAAATGTGGCTCAACCACTGACATTACAAAGGTGCGCAAAAGTTCTGTGCTTTCGTTCACAGGGCGATTGATAGTTTCTGACCATTGCAACATGGCAATAGATATGCCACTGAATATCTTGACTTTTGCGGAATCAGCACAGTTTTCCCAAACTAAATTTATTTTCTTCTGTAAGTCCTCCAAGTAGGTCGACCGTAGTTTAGCTACACTTAGCAAGCCGTGTAGGAGTAGAATTGGTTCGGTAAGTTCATCTAAAAATGCATCTAGATTTTGTACGTAGTTTAAGCCTCTAGCAAAACACTCCTCGTGCAAAGCTGCAATGCTTATTTTCCTTCGATCTGCTATTACGCCAATAATGTGATGCCCCATTTCTTGCAATTCTACCGCATTTGGTTGTTCAGAATCTAAGGATAACGCTAAAACCTTAATAGTTGTAACATAAATGTTTAAATTAAGCTTTTGGTTTGCTTCCTTCAACTGCTCTAGGCTCTCAGCAGTCGAATCTTTTTCAATTTCATCTGATTTGCAGATTAACGTTTCCACCATTTTCAGTACATATAACTGAAATTCCGGCTTAAGTGTTTGCGAAAAATCGCTTTCAACTAACATTTCGGAAACCCGAATAATATCATTCATTTTGGGACCCAAACTAGCAGTAAACATATAGTAAAAGCATTTTAAATAGCCCTCCTTAGCATTCTTTGCTAAACCATCGAAACCATGCTCTATCCAATCATCATAGGAGAGAAGACGACCCATCAAATCAGCTACTTTCAGTGCCTCCTGTGCAACAATAACCTCTGGGTCCCGGCAGGCACGTGCAAGGTCTGGATAAATCTCGAAGAATTTTGCAGTCATCGCCGCTTCGGCATGGAGTACGAATTGATACAACAGCTTTAGGGAATGAAGCCGAACATTCACCTTCCAATCAGATGACTCACGTGTGATGAGACCCAAAAGACGTAATGAACGTTGTACTATACTACGACAACCAATTGTTGGGCGCTCAACGCCGGATGGGTAATTTTTAACAGGCAAGTCTGCTATTTCCTGTTTACTTAATTCCTCTTCGTTTTCTTCGTAGTATTGCTTACCGCATTGAATCCATCGTGGTCGGATTGAGTCTACTACTTCACGAGAGTCATCTTTCAAGCTATATAAACAAGTTAAAATAGTTGGAGAACTATAATTAAAAAAAAAAAAAAATGCGGTGCTTACCAACACAAAACAAATGGTATAAGTCGGTCAAAATAGGAGTACCGGTCTCTCAATTCTAGCAATAATAGCACTCCTAGTTTCCCACATTCACTGCGTACCAGCGGCATCGAATCCATTAACAATGGCGATACTTCCATTAGCAACTGTGATAGGTTATCATTTTTAGGATCCACATGCAATGCTAGACATCCAAGGGCTTCAACTGCTGCTATGCGGGCCAATGAATGTTTGTGATTTAAAATACCATAAAGTGGTTTTGCTAATTGCTGAGTAAACGGCTGTAGTATTAAAGTATCAGCTGACTTTGTCAGTGCAACCACACAAGCACAAGACTCGCGTTGGACAGCAGGATAAGCATCGCGTAAAGCCTTTGCTAAAATACCAGTGATTTGAGTATAACACTCCTCAAGCGAGTGTTTGTTTCCGGCAATTATGTATTGTTGTATTAACGTATGTAATTGCGTTATGTACAGCAAACGTATTTCCTCACTTGACTCCAAAGTTTCTTGCTGTCCCATGCGTTCCACTAATGTCGACACAATATTCAACAAATGGAAGTCATTTGCTGGTAGTTGTTTTGTAAATTCAGTTACAGTATGCACCGCACGTTCCCTTACACTCTCAAAGCGATCCGCGTAGCATTTAAGCAAATGCAAATAGGTATTGTCGAATAATACTTGCAATTGTGATGTCGATGTTTTTTCGCACTGCCGTTTCAGGAGCTCCAATGCCGCAAGTTTGGTACAACGATCAGCCGACTGAAGATTTTTGCAAATATCATCGATGTTGAAAGACATCCTGCACTTGTATTAAAAACTTAATGATTCCGTGCCAAATCGTTCACAGAAATTTTTTTCAGAAATTACGGGAATTTCAAACAAAAATATGTTGCTAGGAAACATACCGCCTCCTGCCCAGAACGCTCTTTTAGAGATGGAAAAAACCACAATATAACCAGTAAACAACCTTCGGTGAATTTGGCGACTGCCTTC